AAAAAAAAATAGAAAAAGAATTAAAAATTTAAAAGAGAAAAAAAAGAAAATGATAGGTAAATAAAATTCATGTAGCAGCAAAAAAAAAGAAGAAGAAGAAGATGAACCAAACCCAGTACTCCAAATGAGATTACAGTCACACAACATACAGGTAGTGGATTAACCTCTAGCTTTGAATGAGAACCTATTATCTCGCTGTTAGCATCTTCCTTATTGGCCAATTTAGCATTTCATTTGATGGGATGTCAGTCCTATAATATAATTGATCTATTGAATAAATGGAAGGAAATTTCTATACTGCTAGATGTAGGGTACTGCAGCAACTATAGCTTCAGAGTGTGCTGCTGTAAGTGGAGCTCTGATGGTCATCTGGAACCTGTGTTCTTGTCATGACCTGGCTACTAACTTACTGTGGGACTTTGGTGAAATTTCCTAACTGTTGTACATATTAGATAGCTATAAAATTGATTAATATCATTTATCCTATCTACTTTATTGGGATGTTTTGAGACTAAAGTAAGATAAAATATTTAAAATCACTTTAAAAAAGAAAAGTGTTATACAAGCACATATTTATTATGTTTACGAAGCTAATATCAGTTTCATAAATGTCCCATTACACTTTATTATTCTGTAGGAAATGCGTGAAGCTTTTGAGCAAGAGGCCAAGCAGATTGGCAAGCCCAGGCTGATGGTCGCTGCCGCGGTGGCTGCTGGCGTCTCCAACATCCAATCTGGCTATGAGATCCCCCAGCTGTCCCAGTGAGTGATGCACACTAACCTCAAACTTCTACAGATACCTTTTAGGCAGAGCAGACTTGTCCTTGGTCTGTCTTGCTCAGGACTTTGTTTAGGAGGCTTCGGAAGTGGTGTCTATTGCCTGCATAAGTGTGGGAAATGACCATCAGAAATGATTTTAAATTCTTTACTCTACCTCAGGTGCCTGGACTACATCCATGTCCTGACCTATGACCTCCATGGCTCCTGGGAGGGCTACATGGGAGAGAACAGCCCCCTCTACAAATATCCAACTGACACTGGCAGCAATGCCTACCTCAATGTGGTGAGTCCCTGCACAGATGCAAATGCAGACCAGAGATGATGATGTAAATCACGTGGGGATTCAGGCACAAAATAGACATCAATTCTGCTAATGTCTCAGTTAGACAACTTCAGCTTTCCTTTTAAGTACAGATCACATATCATTAACTACAACTTCACCAAAATGTTTTGAAGAAGAACACTAATCCCTCTGTCATTAACATCACACAATTTTATCTGTTAGAACAGGGAACTGACATAACTAAACACTGGGTTATCACCCTCTTGGGGCCTGTAGCTAACGTGCTGCCATTGCAGGCTTATGCCATGAACTACTGGAAGGACAATGGGGCCCCAGCCGAGAAGCTCATCATTGGATTCCCAGCCTATGGACACGCTTTAATCCTGAGCAACCCCTCCAACCATGGAATTGATGCCCCACCTCTGGTGCTGGTCCTGCTGGGCCCTATACCAGGCAGTCTGGATTCTGGGCCTACTACAAGGTAGGAAGTTTGGACTGTACAGTGCTCTGTGAATTCTAGGCTTAGGGCTAGAATTTGCTGAATTTTTGAATGATCGTTCTGCCTATTACCTTCCTGCTTTAAACAAGGTCACTTCAACTGCTTAAAGTGTTTAAATAACATATTCATCTACTTAATCCAAATGAAGAGTATTTAATAATTCACAACATCCCTCCAAGCAACAGACATCTTTAAGGTCATTTACATTAGCACACAGGGAATAAAATAAATATACTTCTCATATTACTGTGGGTTCCCCAAATTAAGCACTAAGAGTAGGGACAACATATGAGTACTTGGAAAGCAACTTGATATTCTCTACTACAAATAAAAACCTAAAAACAAAAAAATGAAGAAAAAACCAAACGGAAAAAAAAAAAAAAAAAAAAAATCAGAGACAAGCATGTTTTTTCTTTCAGGGAAGTAATATTTAAAAGATCTGAATCTCTTGATGTTTTAAAGATCTACACCTTCCTGAAAAATGGAGCCACTCAGGTGTGGGATGTCCCTCAGGATGTGCCCTACGCCTATCAGGGCGCTGAGTGGGTTGGCTACGACAATGTCAAGAGCTTCGATATCAAGGTAAGCTCAGCCCCTCATATGCGCTGAGGTTCCTGAGTCCCAGGAAATCAAATGACTCCTGTTGTCCTCTCTCTTTAAACAGGCTCAGTGGCTTAAGCAGAACAACTTTGGAGGAGCCATGGTCTGGGCCCTTGATCTGGATGATTTCGCTGGCACTTTCTGTAACCAGGGCAAGTTCCCCCTGATCTCCACCCTGAGGAATGCCCTCGGCCTGCAGAATACAAGTGAGTGACAACAGGGGGATGCCCAGGTGTAAAAACACTCTTTCTCCAACTCTAACAGCAGCCCTGGTACCTGCCCACCCCCACTGCCTAGGGAGCCTCTTCCGAGTTCACCTCACTGCTCTTGCCCAGGTGAGAGACAAGCGCTGCATCCTTCTCCTACCCCTGAACTTCCACGTCAGGAACTGTATGCTCTTATGGAAAAACCACACCTACCTGGGTGGGTTTTCCAGGTCTGCTAAGTCTTAAAGGTGTGGAAGAGCCTCAAGAAATTATGCTGACCTTCAATATAAGCATCTACTTCTCTATGAATCCCTTATTCAAAGTCTCTCTCAACCCACCTGGGGAGATTTAACAAGAAACCCTCACCAATGCTCACATGTCTGGCATCTGTAATTCAGGGGATGTATCAATTCCCTAAACTGTTTCCAGATTTTCTATTAGACTTTGTTCACCGCTTATACCCAGATCCTAGAGAAGTGTCTTGCACATACTGGGTGCTTAGTAAATATTTTTCAAATGATTTAGACTTCATAAGGGAAGAGTGACCTTTTTAAAACTGAAAGCCAGGCTGGCTTGATATGGTAGCTTTTCCTAATTCCTGAGTATGGCGTTACCTTCTGAGCTCCTCGGTTGCAGAGACCCAGAGCTAACTGCACCCACCTCCACACCTCCACCCCTCCACCCAGTTCTCTTCCCCTCTAGGGGAAGCCTGGAGCCTCTACTAGGCCCACTAGTGTGCTCTTTGTGCTGTGTGTTTCAGGTTGCACGGCCCCTGCTCAGCCCATTGAGCCAATAACTGCTGCTCCCAGCAGTGGCAGTGGGAGTGGCAGCGGCAGCGGGAGTGGCAGTGGTAGCGGGAGTGGCAGCGGGAGCGGGAGTAGCAGCTCTGGAGGCAGCTCAGGGGGCAGTGGATTCTGTGCTAGCAAAGGCAACAGCCTCTACCCTGTGGCAAATAACAGAAATGCCTTCTGGCACTGCCAGAATGGAGTCACGTACCAGCATAACTGCTAGGCTGGGTTTGTCTTTGACACCAGCTGTGATTGCTGCAACTGGGCATAAGCTTGACCTGAGTTCTAAACAGTCTCCTGTGGCTAGGACATCGTGCTCCTACCTAACGTTCTGCAATAAAATCAGCAGTAAAACACATGAGTGTCCCCAGTTTTAAGTGATTTGGATGAAAATCTATTCTAGATGTAAAAACACAGGCCCTACATGCGGGTCAAGTGGCAGCAGAGTGTGTGAGGAAGAGGGGAGCCAACAGCCTTCTACCTGCCTGCGTTCGTCTGCGTGAAGGTTGGAGGGTATATGGAGGGAATGTCTGAATGTTTGGTGCAGCGGTGGGATAAGGATATGAAGAGGATAGGTCTGTAGCCTGTGACAGTCCTCAGGAAGGAGCGGAAGGGGTTCCATGCGCCTGGGGGCACAGTCAGTGCAGCCTGGCTCACTAAGGAGTGGGAGGCTGGGGTATTCCCTCCACTTCTGCTGAAGACCCAGAGCTGGTCCAGCGCCTCCTGGACTGGTGGCCTGGGGAGGAGCTGTGCAGTGGCCTTGCATAGGGTGTCTGCCCAGCCCATGGGCCAGCAGGCTCTCTTTCTCGGGAGACTGCTCCCATCACTGAAACACGCTGGTGGCCACCGGCTGCTGGGCTTGTACGCATCATCCCCGCCCCTAGCTTGGCTGTGACAGGGGTCAACATCTGACCCAAGAGGGCCAATCAGATCATCACCCCTCAGAATGTGCAACTGACAAAAAGAAATTGCCTGTCAGTCTCTGAGAGTGGCTGGGTCTGTAACATGTGAGCTCAGGAGCTGTAGTGAGGGATTGAGGAGAAGGAAAAGTTGCCCTGGGTTCAGAGCAAGAAGCAGAGCTACAGAGGAAAGCCAGGATGCGAGGCAGAGAGAGAGCACTTACCAGTGGATGGCTTTCCGGATGGCTTTCCAACTCTCGATTATAGCTCCTGCCTGAGGCCAGATGCATTTCTGCCTGCCTTTGGGTTCTCTGAAACATCCCTATGATAAATATATAATAAATCCCCTATATAATGAATTTTTCTTTGCTGCTTATGCTGGCTCAAGTTTTTCTTTTACTTGCAAATAAGAAAAGCCTAACAAATGTAATAAGAATATAATGGCTCATTTTTTTTCTGGCATGCTTAGTATGTGTCAAACTGTTCTAAGTGTTTTACACGTATTTTGTTATTTAGCTTTCCCAGTAACCTTATGAGACAGATAACATTAACTCCAGGAAACTGAAGCACAGAGGAATTAATTAACCTTCCCATTGTCACACAGCTTGTTAGTCGCAGAGCCAGATCCAAAGCCAGGCAGGCGGCCCCAGAGCTCACAGTCAGATCTACTATTAATGTTTTACTGCCTCCCTTGACACAGACCACGGTGTTCTCATGGGAGATGGCAGCACTGTGACAGTGACGAGGTACACACAGCTCTTCGGGTAACATCATTCATTCACCAACTCACTACACTTACTGATTATTATGTGGCAGGTGACATTCTCCACGATGAAAACATGGTGGTAAATAAGACAAAGACTCTACTCCCATGGGGACCATATTTTGCTGGTGGCAGCGTTAAATAGTAAATAAGCCAATGAGGAAACGAGAAAAGTGAAAACGGTGACAGAAAGTGGCCACGGAGGGACGACTTTAGTTTGGGTAGTCCAGGAAGGCCTCTCGGGGAGGTCCCGTATGAGGTGGGCCTTGACAGTCAAAAAGAGCCAGCTGTTTTGAGATCTGGGAAAAGTGCGTTTCAAACAGAGGGCACAGCAAGCGCAAAGTCCCGCAGGTGGAGACGAACATGGCACGTTAGATAAACGAAGGTCGGTGTGGCCCTGAGGCGGGGGGAGGGAAGAAACAGGCAGGGTTTCGACAAGGTGTCAAAACCTGATTAGAAGTTTGGGTTTTGTTGTAAGTGAGCTGGGAAGCCACTGGAAGGTGATGGCAGAGATGGGGGTGGTGGTGACAGGATCTAAATTCAACGTTGATGAGTTGGGGACAGAATAGTGATAAAAAAAATACGAACAATAGCATTCTCAGTGATTTTAGCTAATAAATTAACACTGGAGCACTTATGTGACATGCATTGGAGAGAGCAGACTTAGAAGTGGGAGACTTGTGTCCTCAGTGAGCAGGCAAAGGCAAGAGTCGGTAAAATCACATATTGTTATGAAAGTCATGACATTTCTACTCAAAGAATGGTGAAGTCTGGAGTAAAGCAGCATAGGAAGCCCTTTTGGAAGGAATTTTCTATTTAGGTCACTACTAAGGCAAATAGCATTGAGGGAGGACACGAGGGTGTGAGGCTCTGGACTTGATGACAAAAGGACATGAAGTCAGCTGTTGGCTTCAAGGAACAGCATCATTAAACAACACAGTGGCCAGTGGCTAGATCACAGTGGTTTCCCAAACTAACAGCTTTAACAATGCCACTATTTTCCCACAAAGATTAATTCTGCCACCATTTCTAGAATGCAGAAGTTACTGCAGCCTAAAAAATAGTGCCCCCTACTTTCCTTCTCCTTTTACATAGTAATTATTCATTCAAACAAATGTTTACTGTGTACCTACCATGTGCAAGAAGAAGGTGGGCATGAGCTAGCCCCCATGATCACCCTGACCTCACTACACTCACTCCATTTCGACTATGTCACCTCCTTGCTGTTTCTTTCTTTTTTTTTTTTCTTTTTTGAGACAGAGTCTGGCTGTTGCCCTGGCTAGAGTGCCATGGCATCAGCCTAGCTCACAGCAACCTCAGACTCCTGGGCTCAAGCAATCCTTCTGCCTCAGCCTCCCAAGTAGCTGGGACTACAGGCATGCGCCACCATGCCCAGCTAATTTTTTCTATATATATATTTTTAGTTGTCCAGATAATTTCTTTCTATTTTTAGTAGAGACGGGGTCTCGCTCTTGCTCAGGCTGGTCTCGAACTCCTGACCTTGAGCGATCCACCCGCCTCGGCCTCCCAGAGTGCTAGGATTACAGGCGTGAGCCACCGTGCCCGGCCTTTGCTGTTTCTCAAGTAGTCCCTGCACGTAACTGCCTCAGGGCCTTTGCATAAGCAAGAACATGCTTTCCCTAGATTTCCATTTGACTCTCTCCCTCACTTCCATCAGGACTTTCCTGGAAGTCACCTTCTCAGTGAGGGTTTTCCTGACCACTCAACCTAAGATTGAAACCCCCTTTCTCCTCTCCCTACTCTTCTTCCTTTGTTTTTCCTTGACACTCATCACTACTTGACATATCATTCATTTTATGTATTTACCTTTTTTATTGTCTACTTCTTCCACCAGAAGTAACCTCCAGGAGGACAAGGATTTCTGTTCACTGCTATATTCTCACTGTCTAGAACAGTGCCTGGCATTTTATGAGACTTTAATTGGTAGTTTTTGAACGAATAGATGAATGAGGGCAGAAGTGAGATAGGAATTATACAAGTTGAGTGTTCCAAGCACTGGACAAGGCACTTTATACAAGTTATCTCCTAAGTGGGGAATATTGTCCCCGAGTTATGGGGTGACGAAATCGAGGCCTTGTGCGGATAAATAACTTGCCCAGGATCATGTAGTTGGTAATCAGTAGAGCGAATTCTCAAAATTAGGCCTTTCTGGCTCCCTTTATGCCACAATGCTTCCTTGCTGAAAGCGATGTCACAATGACTTAAAGAGGGACTTCCAGAGTGGGGCTGTTGCTTAGCAGCCAGTATTAGGTGCATCCTTCATATTCTTGGTTAAAGTCCACATATGGGAGTGGTGAATCATGGAGGTAATATATGAGACATCCAGGTTCACCGGAAGTCCCTCTCAGGGACGGTTCATGTCCACAGCTTCGCAGAAATCCTCCAAGTCCTTGCCATATGATCTACCTGGGAAGCTGGATGACAACAAAAGCATACCGTGGATCAACCAGCAATACCTCTGGGACTTTGATCATGGTAATCATGTTCTTGGACTCCAGCACACGTATGAAAACGTATCCTTTCAGTATTAGAGTCTAGCTGGAAAGAAGTGGGAGGCGCACGGGGTTCCATAAGGGCCCTGATCCTGGGCGAGGGTATGGGGAGCCAGCTGCAGCCCTGCAGCCCTGGGCATGGAGGTGGTAGCTTGGAAGTGCACTAACATTTGTTAAATGCCAACTGTAGGTTAGTCACTCACCATGCAGGATTTGTGCCTGTGTTACCTCCCAAATTCTCATGGCAGCCCTAGGAGGAAAGAAATGATTCGTGCCATTTTATAGATAAACCAAGGCTTAGGTAGTTTAAGTAGTTTCCATAAGGTCATGTAGCTAGTAAATGACATACATCCCTTACCGAAAGCCAATTCTGAGGGACTTCAAAGACTTTGTTCATTCCTCTACCCAGATGAGGGAGGTTGGTTTTAAGAAAGTCTAGAAAGTAGGATTTAGAAAGTGTATTTCCCTCCCCTCTGTCTCTCTTCTCCAGAGTAGAGATCCAGGAGGATTTCTGTTCTCTGGATCAAGGGTTCTCAACCCTACTCAGACCCAAAACCTGCTTTGAGTAACAGCCTATAACACCCCATCTGTTATTCTAAAATTAAAATTAATTCATGGATAATATAACCTACCACACATAATTTTACAAACAACTCAATATAGTGTCATAACTGTAAGGTAAAGGAGAAAAAATAATTCTTAATAAAGTAATATGGATGTCAGTATATAAATGTTCAAATATGACTACTTTAGAGACAAGGACGTACTTAAGGTTTTTGTATCATATATTGTATAATGAATAAGTCTAGAATTATGAGAAGGCTAAAAGTCATTTCATACAATCGGTTTAGGAAAGTTAAAGAACAGAATTATAAGTGGATACCACAATAAAAACTAATATTAGGAAAATTAAAAACACTCCAGATTTACTGTTTTCTGATAGTAAATAGCTTTAGTTGAAATAGGGATAATACCTAGAAAAATTACAAACCATTGAAGTAAAAAAAGGGAGGGATATGAATACGTTATTCTTGAAAAGTGAGTGAACAATGGCAATGTGCTTCTCTAGGGTTGCCATATTTTTTTAAATAAACTA